GGGCTTTATTTGGCTTTCTAGCCACCAGTGTGCAACCTCAACTAAACGAGCTCCATAAATCAAGGACGGCTTTTTCTCTGTGCTCTGTCCTGTCTCTCCTACTCAGAGCCTCTTCCTCCCATGCCTGGGTCAGAGCCTATCCCTTCCCTTCTTTCCATTGTCTCTTTCTTTTCCAGTCTTCTTTATCACTCCTAAAAGATGGAAACTGAGATCCACACATTAAATCTTCATGGGGCCCCAGCTGTATCACTGGACAGGATTGTATGCCTGGGAAAATCCAGGTTGTGAATTGTAACCTAAGGCTGTGGCTCCATGATGTCAACGACTGGTTGTTGGTTTAGTCAAATCAGGGGAAAAGTCAGTCAAGCTCACAATTCTGAATAACTTATCAAACAACATATGGAGGTCTTCATTTAAATTCTGACTTTATTTTGTTTGCTTTAAAATCTAAGCCACTGTAATTAGAATCATCCTGGGTGTTTTTAAAAATATTCCCAAGTCTGGGCTCCACCCCAGGCCAACTACATCTGAGGTTTGGAAATGGAGTCTGGGCATTGGTAGCTTTTAAAAGACCCCAAGTTGGGAGTGGCTGGGTGACTCAGTGGGTTGAGTGTCCAGCTCATGTTTTCGGCTCAGGTCGTGATCTCAAGAATCATGGGATCTGGGCTTAGTGAGGAGCCTGCTTGGATTCTCTCCCTCTGCCCCTCCCCCCAATTGCTCCTGCATGCTCTCATTCTCTCTCTCTCTCTAATAAATAAATAAATCTTTAAAAAAGTAAATAAAAAAATAAAAAAGACCCCAAGTGGGTCTAATGTGAAGGCAGAGTTGAGAATCACTAAACTCGTCCCCTAAACCTGTGGATTAGCAGCACATTTAACTCCAGATGATTATCATCTTGAGTACTTCTTTTAACTTGTTCAAGGATTTCCTCAGCTCTGTTCTCATTTATCTTCAAAACTCTGTGAGTTAGGCAGCTTGGACACTATTTATTAGCATTGGACAAATGAGAAAATGAGGCATAAAAATGTTAACTGATTTGCACAAGTGCACTCAGCTAATTATTGGTGAAGATACATTGTAACTCTACCTGAGGCAGAGTTCCTTAATTTTAAGCCTGGTTTTTGCAAAGTTTCCCCAAAACACAGGACCTTCCTGATCACTGAATTCCTTTACTGTTATTAAGTAACCCTAACACATAGGTGGGTACCAGAAAACCAATGACTATGTGATCAAATTTCAGAAGTGTGACTTTTTTTTTTTTAAAGATTTTATTTATTTATTTGACAGAGAGAGACAAAGCGAGAGAAGGAACACAAGCAGGGGGAGTGGGAGAAGGAGAAGCAGGCTTCCCGCTGAGCAGGGAGCCCGATGCGGGGCTCGATCCCAGGACCTTGGGATCATGACCTGAGCTGAAGGCAGTCAGTGTAACTGTTTTTAAAAGACACGGTTTAGGGTCAGTGGTCCAAGGTGTCTTTTTCTGAGGTCTATGATGCGATTTTGAAAGTGCTTACTTCTACACACATCCTTCCCCCACCCCCACATCACCTTTCATACTTTCCATTAAGATATTATTTTCAGAAAAGTATTTTAAATGATTAAATACGTCAGAATATTGGAGGTAAGGGGAACTTTACTGATCAACTTTCCCACCACCTCTGATAGACGAGAAACCTGAAGTCCCTTTTAATTCAATATATATGGAGTGCTACCATGGTGCCAAGCGCTTCACACCATTATCTTAATTAAATCTTCAGGATAACTCAGTAAGATAGGTACCACTACCACCACCATCACCATTATCTTCATTCCCATTTAACAAATGAGAAAACAAAGCCCCATGTCAGGTTCCACACTCAGCAGGGAGTCTGCTTGAGGATTCTCTCTCCCTCCCCCCTCCCCCTCTACCCTTCCCCTCTCCCAGCTCTCTCAAATAAATAAATAAAATATTTAAAAACAAAAACACTAAGGTTTAGAGATGCTGAAAATTTTCCCAGTGTCCGTGGGCTGGTAAGTTGGAACCCAGCCTGTGCCTCATCTCCTGCCTTCCATCACCCGGAGTGACAAAAGTGCAAAAAGTAAAAGATAAATCCTTATGAAAATGCTAAGAGATGATCAGTGAACACTGATTTGAAAAGGGAGAAAAGAGGCATTTGGGCTAGGCCTTCACAAATACACAGGATGACAGTAGGCATTCTAGTCCAGAATCAACACCCATACTGAAGCAGAAAAGCCACAGGAAGAGCACAGGGTGAACTGTGAGAAAGATGGAAAGAGAAGAGATGTCAGACCGTGGAGGGTCCTGAGTGCCCAGCTAAGGAATCGAGACTTTAATTTTAGGCCAGGGGAACCCCCTGAAGGTTTTTAGAAGCAAAGTCACTAGAAAAATGCAAACTGAGTTTTAGAAATACAGATCCCATGGGAGTGTGGAGATTGAATTAGGGGAGCAGGGCTTGGTACCTGAGGAGAGCAACTAGAAAGCTGTTCTACCTCATGAATTCTCTGCTTCACTCTCCACCACGTATTGTGCTTGCGTGAAGCACTGGTTTCTTCAGGGCACCTCTACATCTGTTTCGTGATCCTTGTATCCCAGCACACGACTTGCATTGCCATGTCTAGGACAGATGACAGGGACCTGAACTTAAGCAGTCGGAATGGAGATGAGAAGACAGGTTTGAGAAGCCTTTGCAAGGGCCTGGTAACTGCTCAGAAGTGGGGAGAGGATAAGAGGGAAAGAGAAGCAGAGTAAAGAAACCTCTCACATCTTCGCTTGGGAAAAAGACGAATAACGGGATCTAGAAAGGAAGGGATGTTCAACAGCAGCATAAAGAAGTGAATGAGATGACTAAAGTCTCAATCTGAGAGACATTTATTAAGCAGCTACTCTGTGCTCGGCATTAGGGGAACAATAATGAGTAAGAGTGGTTTTTGCCCTCAAGTATCACCCAGAGGGAGGAAAAATACAAGACTAGAATAGACAGATGCCTGGCCTCCTAGTCTCTGGACAAACGTCACCCTCCCACACAGGCCCTGCTAGACGGTCATCTATTTCTAGTGCCCTCCCCCATCACATGATCCTGTTTTATTTCTCCCTTACCCTAACAAATACCTGAAATTCATTATATGTGCATTTATTGTCTCTTTCCCCCCAGGAGAAGGGAAACTCCACAGAAGCACGAACTTTATCTAGTTCCATATAATAAGTCCTCAGTAGGAAATATTTATTGAATATTTGGGGGGGAGGAGGAGAGTGAATACACCTCATCAAGGTTTTAAGACCTCAAACCAAACTAGGCAAGTTTCCTAAATACCTAAGGTGACATGCTGAGAACTGAAGTGACTCAGAAGAGTAAAGCCATTTTGAGGCTGGGGCGGAAGCAAAATCCAGGATCAGTGCCTCATCTTGACAGTTTCGCATAGATTTCAGGAGTACCCACCCAGCGTGAGATGTTTCAACAATGAGGCCAGCCAGCCACCTAGCTCAGGTTTTATTTCCGTTGTCCTGACGTCAGAAAAAGCACGAGTTGCTGCACAGTTTCTTCTATCAAGGTGACAAATTACAGCCTTGCTGTTCTCCGCAGTCTGCAAACCACAGCCTTATTCTCTCCTCCCCCTTATATTAAAAAAATTAACTCTACTGCAGAGATGTCAAACCCCCTTCGCATACAAATAAATACCGTTTCTTGGCGCTGGGGTCTTTTTCACTCTTAACTACATACATCACCATGGATTCGTCTGAGAAAAAGTACGTGATCCTGGCGGCAGTAAGGTTTCCACGAAACAGTGCTATAAAAACTGGGTCCGCGCCGCAGAGCGAGACACAAAGGGCTCTTAACTGTAGCACCACCTTACCAAGCCCGAGACAGCCTGTGAAAGGCATCCCGAAACGCGGGGAGGCTGTGACCGCGAAATTCCTTTTGCCGCCATATGCTCTTGTATATCCTCCGATTACAGTTCACCCTAAAACCAGGGGCGGGCGACTCCGCAGGGAAGCAGCGCCCAGGCAGCCTGGTAACCTGTGGGGTCCCAGTGGGTGCTGAGGAGCCAGACGCTCAGGGAGGTGGATTATGGGGGTGGGGGAGCCCCAGGGCGCGCACTGGGGCGAAGGAGCGCTTTCCTCCCGGCACCGACGCGGCGAGTTCAAAGGCCTTTTGTGGCCACGTTTAGGGACGCGAGCGAGGCGCCGGGGACCGCAGGAGGGAAGGGGAGAGGAGGCGAGGGCAGTCCGCGCCCGGGCCCCGCGCGAGCGGTGGCCTTTTGTTCGCCAGTTCCCGCGGAATCCAGCTCTCAGAACAGCACTTCTCTTTCTCCCCTTCTTCATGTTGGAAAGCACCTCTTCAGGGCGGGAAAGGACAGTGAATCCCCGCCAGCTTCCTTTAGTAATCTTCCCCCCGCATCCTCCTACTCTAGGCTACTGAGAGAGGGGGCAGAGCTCGAGGAAGGGGCTGCAAACGTGCTCCTGTTTACTCACGCTCGGCGGCTCGGTTCCCCCGCGGCGCCCAGTCCCCCCAGCCCCAGCCGACCCCACGCACACGCCCGGGGGCATCACATGCTCTCCTCTGGGCCCTGCGGACGCAGTAAATTGCTCCCAAATGTCCAGGATTCGAACCCTCCTCGGGTATGCAGTAGCGCCCTCTCGGCCGCTGCACTCTCCCTCCAGACCCGCGTGGTCCCCGACCCTAAGTATCATTTAACCAGATCGCGTGCCACACTCTGCCGCTATGAAAACAGACACAAAAAGTAAGCCACAGCCCACGCAAAGGTGAAATCTGGGGCCCCTGCGCCCCCTTACGCTACCGCGTGTGTTCGGAAGAACAGAGGAGCTGGACTTTTCCCGTAATACAAGCAAAATCCGAACGCCGCCGGTAGAACCGCGCACTCCTTCCTTCCACGCCCGCTTGGGTGACTTGTACGTTACCGCCTCCACTCGCATCCAAAACATCCCTTTCCTCCCTGCCACCACCGCTCCCTGGGCTCCCCCTGGAAAAGCAGAATCGCCTTACCTTGGGCAATAAAGGGAAAAGTGGCAAAAGGAGACCAGGTGTCCGCCCTTCCGGGGTCCCCCCCCCGGCCGTGTGATGTCCTTTGTGTCACGGTCTGGCTGCCTCCGCGGGGAAAAGGTGGCCTCCGTCAGCGAGGGCTGGGCGGGGAGGGTTCGCGCGCGGTGGCGGATTTCCGAGGAAGGTGAAGGGCGGAGGTTCCCAGCGACCTTCAGGCAGAGCGGCGTGGCCACCCGAGCCCGCGCTCTCTGGCTCTCCTCCTCCTTTCCGGGCCGATTGCATCAGAATCTACCCCCACCGCCAACCCCCACCCACACTCTGCTCGCTAGCCTCGCACTTACATCCACATGCTCTGGCACGGAGGGTCTCGAACCGCAGTCATTCTCCTACTGGGGGGCGCGTCGCCTTTGCGCTTCCATGGCTCGTGATGGTTTAAAGGGGAAAGTCAGGCCACTCCTCCGCGTCCCGCGTCCAGCGTCCCGCGCGCCGTCGCCTCCCCTCCCGCGCGCCCGCTCTTTAACCAAAGCTGCTTGTCACTGAGCGGTGCCCGTCACATGGTGTCTCTGCTGACAGCCGCGTTTCGCGAATTCCCTCTTGCGGCTCTCAGAGGATGCAGCGACCGCGGCTGGCGGAGATTGAGCATCAGGGAAGGGGCGAGGGAGTGGTTGAGGGGCGTGCGTGTGCTGGGCGCACTGTCGGTGGCACGGGGAGAGGAGGTGGCGCGCAGCCTGGACAACTGCCCCACGCCCTCCTGGGGACCCGACAGCGGGCCCAGAACCCGGCTGCGGCGGCGGCTGGAGACCGGGAGCCCTTGGGGATGGAAGTGGGAGCGACCAAGAGGGCGCCGGCGGAGGAGAGGAGGGCTGTGCGATGGGGCCGCATTTCGGGGTACGCCAGACCGCAGATGGGCCGAGGGAGCCAGGGAAGTTGCATTGTGGGAAGGGCGCAGCGTGAGGATGGCCGCGGGAGTGGCTGGTTCGCGCAGCCCAGCGAACCGCTGGCAGTGTCTGGAGCTGCGGGCAGTGCTGGAGCGGTGTGTTGGCTCCGAGGACCGCACCGAGAAGGCCCGGGTTGGTGGGGGAAGGGAAGGGGCTTGCGCAGTGGCTGGGGGAGCGGGGCGCCCGGGCACCTTTGGAAACCCTTTGTCCCTACCCCGCAGTGGGAGGCGCCTCCCCTCTTCCGGATCCAGCACACCCGCAGACCTCGCCAGCCTTCCCCGAGATCGGTCCGGTGGCGCTCTGTTTGGGGGACTGGGTGTGACGCGACCCGATAGAGTTGCCGAGCTCGGAGCGCGCACCTGCCTGGGCGCGAAGGGGCGCTCCAAATCCGGGGGCAGCGGGGAGCGAGGGAACAGGATGCAGAGGACTGGACAACTGGACCGGTTTCCCTATCTTTTGCTTACTCTTTGTTTCAGGCATAGACCCTTTCAACTGGGCACTTCCTTGCAGGGGAGTTGTGTTTCCTTAAAATGGCGTCAGGAAATCCCACCTGCGCCTTAGCCAATTGGGCTGTCATTACTGAGCGAATTTGCAGGGTGGAAACTCGAGCTCTTTCTTGACAGGAATCGTTCAGTCTCCGTGTTGCATCAAAACAGGAAAGGAAAGGTGAATCATAATTCAAAAATTAATCTACCTGGAGCGTTTCAAGCGGGCAGACCGAATGGAGTAGCCATCGTTTTTTTTTAAACCACCGCTGGAAAAGTTAAAGGACAACCAAATTTCAAACCCTTGATAACTAAAATCCTTTTTCCCTTCAAATGGCAGCAAGTGGTTTTCATTGGTTCAGCAATAGCGTCCTGAGAACCCTATTCAGAAGACATGTTTCTTGAATAAACCTGAGAAATCAAAAATTCAGTGCAAACAGAAGGGGGCAAAATGATGGTAGCTTACCTCGGACAGACCTGCGTTCGAATTCTGCCTCTGACACTGTTGCCTTACCTGCTTCACTTTTGTCCCAGTCTTGTTTTCCCAACTCGTAAAACAGAGGGTTAATTGTACCCACATCATGGCAGTATTCTACAGGTCCTCAAAAAGTTGGTTCTTTCCCCCTTTCTTTCCTACAGGAAGCTAATTCAGTTTGGAGTTAATTTTAAGTAGTGTGCACCTTGCCTGACACAATAATTCTGATAAATAAGGAAAGCAATCCGAGGGGCGCCTGGGTGGCTCAGTCGGTGAAGCATCTGCCTTCGGCTCAGGTCATGATCCTGGGGTCCTGGGATCAAGTCCCATGTGGGGCTCCCTGCTCAGCGGGGGAGGGGTCTACATTTCCCTCTGCCTGCCGTTCCCCCTGTTCGTGCTCACTCTCTCTCTCTGTCTCTTTCTGTCAATCAATAAATAAAATCTTACAAAAAAAAAAAAGGAAAGAAATCTGAACAGGCAAGGTGGGTAAACTGAGCATAGTTCCAAAGGCTGTTGAAATCTTTACCTTATTAGGCAGAATGTATATTCACTAATACTTGTTTGGAGACATCTGATCTCAAGCTCATCCTTTGATCAACTTATTTGCTAGTTTCTATGCACACCAAAGACTGCAGTTACCTAGCATTTTTTAAATTGGATTCAAGAGTAATGAATTGAACTTCTACTCCTTGAATTGGATTCAAGAAATGAATTGAACTTCTACTGTGCTATGCACTTTACACGTAAATATTATCTCATTTATTTTATTTTTTTTATTTTTAAAGATTTTATTTATTTATTTGAGAGAGAGAGAATGAGAGATAGAGAGCACGAGAGGGAAGAGGGTCAGAGGGAGAAACAGAACCCCTGCTGAGCAGGAAGCCCGACGCGGGACTCGATCCCGGGACTCCAGGATCATGACCTGAGCCAAAGGCAGTCAGCTTAACCAACTGAGCCACCCAGGTGCCCAAATATTATCTCATTTAACCCCTCCAACCACTCAATTAAGTATTATCCTCTCTGTATAAACAAGAAAGCAGGTTCAAAGAGGATGACTTGTCCCTGTTCTTTTAAGACAGAATGCAGTGAAGGGGGAAGCCAGGAAGTGATTGCTGTTCAGGTCTCAACTGAAAGGCTGTGCTCAAGTCTTACCCATGATGCTACAACCTCTTGCAACTAGACACCCGTGGTTCTCAAGTTGAGAAGGATTTTCAGCCCTCATCTGGGTTTTAGTTGACAACCTGGAAGGAGAGTGCAAGCATCAACTTGGAGGCTGAAAGGAAGGGCTGCTGCTGTGTGGAGAACCGGGGGGTGGGGGGGTGGGAAGAGGTAGTGTTCAGGATAAGTGCCTGTTCACTGCACTGTGTGGTTTTCTTCAGGACTACTTGTAGGCGTAACTTCCTTTCAGCAGCTCAGCCCCTAAACGCAATTGCTGTGGTCTCAAATGGGGGCAAAGGGTGTCATGATGACAGCTTCCCATTCACTGTGTGCTTGCTGAGACATAAGCAGCAGGACAAGCACTTCACAGATGGCTTCTTATTTAATCCTCACAACATTCCTAAGAGGTGCAGACCATCCTAATCCCCGATTCAGACCTTGAGGAAATTAGTCCAGGTTCACACAGGTCTAACTGGCCCATCTAGCTCTAGAATCCCGAGCTGACTCCAAAGCTGATTCTCAGTGTCTGGCTCTAAAATGTTCCCCAATGTGGGAACAACCCTCTTTGAAGAGCCACGAGGTGGCACAGGTCCCAGGCCACTCTGCCTTCAAGTAGGAACCACTGCCCTGTTTCCAGAGAGTCCAGGGAGTCCGTTTGCTCTATACTGGGTTTGTGAGCTCCAAGGGCGTTGTCCATAGTATCTAATGTTCCCCAAATGGAAGGTAGTCAGGACACATTCACAGGTTGTACTGCGGGCTGCCCTGTGAAACCAAGAAAATAACATTTCTGTGTCTGCTCTGAAGGTGATGCTGGAGAAAAAATCTATACTGTGAAAGGAGAACTGAATCACCTGGGGTCACCTGGGAGTTTTCTGGTAGCCCCACAGGTCCTTTCTGGATGGCTCCAGGAAGAAAGGGTGGCTTTGTGGAGAAAGAGCCCCAAAGAGGATTCAGCCTGAACTTCAGTCACATCTGCTCTCAATCTAGCTTCATCCTGTCCTCACCTCGGGTGGCACTCACTCCCCATGTGGGCTGCCCGGGAGGACAGCCAGAAGGGTCCCCGCTAGCTGTGCACTTACAGAGACACCGTGCTTTCCTCCATGGGGTTTCAAAACTTTCCAAATACATCTGGCCCCGCTACTAGCAGACTTCTTGTGGATGCATTGTGAGTCATAGGATAAGTACTCTCTTCTGAATATGTAGTTTTTCCTTTTAATCTGTAAAGGACTGTTTTCGGACTGTCTGAATTTTTAACAACAATGAAAAATAGAAAAGTCAACTGGTGAGGTTAATTCAAAATAAGTGTCCTGTACATTTTCTACTTGTAACAGAAGCAGTACAGCCATCTGTGAACAAAAGTTACCTCGTTAGAAAGTAAGTTATTTACTCTGAAATCAGGTTTTTATTCCTATTTATAGGAATGTCTAAAATAACAGATGGTCTTTAGAATTACTGGTTTTGGGGTGCCTGGGTGGTTCAGTCGATTAAGCGTCGCCTTCGGCTCAGGTCATGGTCCCAGGGTCCTGGGATGGAGCCCCACATCGGGCTCCCTGCTCGGCGGGGAAAGCCTGCTTCTCCCTCTCCCTCTGCCCCTGCTGTGTTCCCTCTTTCACTGTCTCTTTCTCTGTGTCAAAAAATAAATAAAAAATCTTAAAAAAAATTTTTTTTAATTATTGGTTTTCCTTTTGATGATGTGATCACATTTCTTTGCCTGATAAACCCTTTTTACCATTCTTGTTCTTTGGATAATCTTAACCAGAGGTGACAATATTTTGGCTCTAGGAGTTAAACAGCCACAGGAAAAAGTAACTTGCAACTAAGAGAGTTCCCAGTCCTCTTGGCCATCTTTCTGCAGATACATAGCACTGTGTGAACTCACCCTTCTCAGTAGCACTGTGATGGACAGAGCCTACTGTCACTTCTTCCAGCACTGAGATGAACATTCTACCTCCCTGGATTTGTTTTTCTTTTCTTTTCTTTTTAAAGATTTTATTTTTTTATTTGATGGGGATACAAAGGGAGGGACACAAGCAGGGGGAGTGGGAGAGGGAGAAGCAGACTCCCCACCAAGCAGGGAGCCTGACGTGGGGCTCAGTCCCAGGACCCTGGGATCATGACCTGAGCCGAAGGCAGATGCCTCACTGACTGAGTTACCCAGGCGCCCCAACCTCACTGGATTTGTAATTGATGGGTTCTGGCAGGAGATCAACAATCCCCACTGACTCTAAACTGAATTTAATTAAAATCCCAGAGTGGGCTTCTTTAAAAGTGTCTCTTGCCTCTGATTTTGGCCCAGGTCAGCTTTGTAGGGTCATTTTTTGTTTGTTTGTTTTATCTCTTAGGAGAGCAGGGAATAGGGTTCGTGAAGTATTGTGACTGTATGACAAGATAAAGACCCAGGGCTGATGATCAGT